TAAAACGGTTAACAGAGACTCCAAGATGTTGCAAAATTACTCAGTCACTTTGGGAACAGCAGAGTAACCCAACATAAAGGCCACAAAACAGACTTCCGGTAACCAAAATGCTGTTTAATATTAAACTGTTCTTGCTAACAACATAACTGTTGACCATCATTAGAAATTTTACAACTCATCAAGTCCAGAGAAACTTAAATAAAATTTCATCCTCTAATAAAAAAATGGTGGAACCCCAATACAGGAGACAAGAGACTGGAAAAATGGTTATTAATCATTAAAAAAATGGGGTCCTGTTGCCATATAGCCCGCGAGCAGGCTCATTTATGCAAGTTTTGGAAAAATTTTGGCAGCGCAGCTACCAAAAGAGCTGGTGAGGACAGCAAGAAGAATAAGGCGAGGAATTTGGGGCTCTGCCACCACAAATTTCCTGAACTCACACAAGTGAGCCCGCTCACAGGCTAGTTTTCATACAGTTTGTATTAATAACTAGGGACAAAGAGTGTCATCTGTTATTAATACCAGTGAGAGTTTCAAGTCATTTAATATACTCGGAATTTGTCATGTTTAGGGTTTTCCTAGATCTGTACTACATTTACATCAGTCACATTAATTTCTCCTGTCCAACAGTGTAAAGGAAATCCTAGTCACAGAAATAGTTCCAACAGTTAGTCATTCTTCTACATGTAAATCTACAATGATAAAGATAAATACAACCAAAAATTGTTAGGGTAAAAACACTTTAGAGCCTGGCAATATTACAACTTGTATGTACACTAATCTTGAACGTTGTGGCTCACAATAAGACAACAGGCAAAACTATAATGTTATCAGTGATTCTTCTTGCACTTTACAAAATAACTGTTGCTGGGAACAATGACAAATCCTAATTCCTACGAACACTAAATAACCTGTGAAAATATCTTCATGAGGACAAAAAATCATTTGGGATGTGAACCTACTACATTAATTTTATGTACTAAAAACAATGCTAAAAATTTGCAACCTGTTGGTGTCAACTGGTCAGAAGTCATGTGGAAAGCATATTTACACAAGCTAACAAGAGAAAGAGAAATTGATCATTTCCATTTTCTTTATAAAATACTACCAGTGGAAAAGTCTGAGGATATTTGGCCAATGTAATTTGAGACCCTTCAGGCTTTCATTTAGTTGTAAAATGAAGAAGGTGATTAAACATTTGACTGTCAAAGTGAGAGGTTTTCTTTTAAGTTAAGTTAGATGAGCTCACTGACATTTCTTTCATAAAATATTTCTGTTGAGATGTACTCCTCAAAGCTGGATGAGTCTCTTCCTACTCTTCATGTATCTTTTTGTGCTATTGACAACAGGGTTGAGGGTATAACTGCTCTGTTGGATGGGCAGGGCTGTACTCTAGCAGTGCTCAGTGGCCTGTGGTACCTAAGTTTTGCTCTTGGAAAATCTTAGTTTTTTTCATACAAATCATATGCTGGGTACCCTAGATTTCATAGCACTGGGCTCCCTTCAATTTTTCTTAGAGCACAGCCTTGATGGGGTCAATTTAACTTATAACGTTTTCTTTTACCAAGAATTGCATTTTATGCCTAAAATTTATGCCGTCAATTAACCTGAAGAGAGACTACAAAATCTTGCCTTTGATGCAATTTTCATAAACCAGTAACTGCCTCTATCTCCACTAAAAAATAATACTAATGGCATGTCGTAAGTGACCCCCAAAAAAGCTAGTTATGTCCTGCAGCCCTTGAAACATAAATAATAAAAAGACTATGGCCAAAAAAGTGCAATGTTTACATGAAGAGAATTTCTGTTGTCAGATGAGCTCTTAACCATTCTCAGCGATCAGCCATTATTAACACCACTGCTATAATGGATAAAGCCACTGTAGACCATCCTCCACCATAAGACCAGCTAAAGAATACATCAGATTTCCAGTTATGGAATGTGTAAACCAATAATGCAATGATGACCATTATTGCTGAAAACAAAAAATAACATTGACATAAAATTTTAAAGAATGGTAAGAAATATATATAGAGCAGAATAAATTGTTTCCCAAAAGCTTTTCACCGCTGTATTTTCCAGGCAATTTTTTTGTTATCATTATTAATACTATTTAAGGCAATGATGCCCACTGAGGCTAATTTCTTTTAGAGCCAAAGACACACTTAACAATAACAAACTAATCTCTCAGACAAATAAGATGTTTCCATCCTTAGTAGTGTGAATTTGAATGAATTTTGACCAGTATTCTTGTCTAAAATTAAAATTAGAAAAACCTTAGACACAAATTTACACAAGTTTCCCATCAAAGAATTGTCTTATCCTTTCATATCACAACACTAAACACGAGCAATCCACAGGGTGCAGAGGAAGTTAGTTTTTTGCCCACTTGGGCAAGCTGTGGCTAACATGTACTAGCCCAAGTCAAGAGTTATTTTAATTGGCCTGAATTATTTTTTTGATAATTAGGATTGATTACAGTTCTTCTGTAATATTAATTCCCCAAAACACTTTACTTGCCCATTGGGCAAGCTAAGAACAGAATCCACTAGTCCCAGGCTAGACACTGCTTTCTTTGCAGGCTGAATCCATCCAAAATAATTTCCCACCTATGATGAGTCCCCTGGCTGTGTATGGCATAAATCACAGACAGAAAACTGGTGTTTAGCAAGCAAATACAGCCATCTCTCCTCGCTTCTCGTGACTAGGGACTTTTTACAGGAAAGACGTCTGCGCTTCAACGACAGAAATTCAATACTGATGACATAAATCAAAGTTTACATAATTAACAGGTAGTCATAGGGTTCCAAATATGAATTTGTGGAATTTTAGGTTTCCGCTGGTTAATTATCATGGTAAAATTTTGTGTTCTTCTGTGATCGAACCTCAGAAAAACTCAGATGCGTCTTCTAAAGAAGAATGTATTCTACGAATATTGAATGTTTTGTAGTAGATTCATCGTATTTACATTTGACCTTTGTGGCCTTTTGTCTTATGTCTGTCATTTGTAGACAATAGCTAAATCAATATAACTACTATGTCGAACAATCAGAGCTCCTGATGAAAATTCTGGACAGATTTCATGTCATCAGTATGGAATTTCTGTCGCTGAGGTGCAGACGTCTTCATTTCAAGATGTCTATATTGGCAAGGAGCAAGAGGAGATGGCTATTTTCACAGGCTAACTGGTACTGGATGGATTTCTTGACCCTGGTGTGAATTCCACAAACATTTTCAACCCACTGAAAACTCACCTGCAACAAAGAAGAGTCCAGCCACCCAGAATGACGGGAATGGATGCCCTTTTCTACACGCAGCTATAATAGCAAAGATGAAGGCAACAAGGTGGAACAGGAGACCCAAAACCATAAATGCAATTACTACACCATTCCAGTCTGAAAAATAAAGAGGCATTGCTGCAAGTTTTTTTAAGGCTGGTTTTCACTAGCAACAGAGTCTGAGGCAGAATCGTAAGGGAAGTTGCAAGAGTGCTCATGACCTTGTGAAAATCAAAAATCAGAGTCGTAAGCAGAGTCATAAATGCAACAGAATCGAAGTTGGAAGAATCAGAATGTTTCCATTTTCTTTTGATATTTCCGCTTATGATTCCGACATTTACAATCTAGTGAAAACCAGATTGTCAGTCAGAGTTGGAAGCAGAAGCCGAAGGATAAACTAATCACAACGCTCATTCCCACTGTCGCGTTGTGATTGGTTTAGTTCTTTCGCTTCTGCTTGCGACTCCAATGACCTAGTTTTATGCTTGATTGTAAATGACAGAGTCTAAGTGGAACCAGAACACTGTTTTGACAAGATCATTAAGTCCTACACTTCTATGACTCCTACTCCGTTGCGAGTGAAAACTAGCCTTCAGTCTGGACAAAAATCCTATGATGTAACCATTGAATTTAAATCTTCTCCACCAGTTTTTCAACATGGTGTTACTAATTTTTCAGGTTTGTACATTTAATAAAATTTTGAATTTCTTTTTTAATTTTGCAGGGTGCAAAGAAAGTCAGTTTTACAGCTTACCATTCAGGCATGCTGTTGTTAGCATGTACTACCTCAAAAGTCATTTTAACAAGTCTGAAAAAAATATTTTGATGAGCAGGATTGATTTATTATTCAGTAATTTGAATTTCCCAAAAAAATAACTTGCCCATTGGGCAAGTAAAAAACAGAATTCAGAAATCCACTAGTCATCTTTAAACAATAACAATATTTTTTATTCGTTAATATTATTGCTTCACTGCAGTTAAGTCCAATATTGTTGTCTTAAAATAATGATCAAAAGTTGCTTTTATATATAAGAAACTGACTTAATTTTTTTTTGGACAAAAAAGAAAAGTCAGCTCGCAACATGAAAGAATGATTTTGCTCCTAATTTATTGACATAGTTTTGGTAATTAGGCCTCTGAATGTAATGATATAAATGAAGCACTTTCTATGCCACAAATTAAAAATTGATATACGTACAACACAAGGGGGCCTTCTGACATTGAACATTTGTGATTTCGCATCTCTGTCTTACTGACTTTTTTTCAAAGAAAAAATATTGTTGACGAGTTTCTGTGTTCGCAATGCTTGTACGTTACATAAACCTATGCACCAAAATACTGTTTTTAAGCAAAAGTACAATGATGTGTGGTATTCTAGAAAGAATACTTGAAACCAAAACTCTTCGAATTTGGAATACACTTTATGACAATATTTTCACATATGAAGCACGGTGTTATTAATCTCGCACAATGGTACTTAATATGTAACTTCTCAAGGAGCTCATGTCCTGTAACCTATCCCACAACCAATTTTAGTACCTCGAGGGTTATAAACAGACACAACATCAGTTGTAAGTTGAATCATTAACACTTAAGCTTAAATAAAACATGAAATGTTTCCTTGTAAAGAATGAGATTTTTGTACATTTTTTTCAGTGAATGTATACCTGGTCTCCCTTCACCATGTAAATCTGTGCAGCTGTCAGCAGCGACTACAGTGTTGTTGATGCTAGTTTCATGGCAAGTGTGAAATAATCCTTCATGATTAAATTGGACCCCCGAGATTTCTTTGGCTTCCCTCCACGAAACACGCCAAAAATCCGTCGCCAGCGCCAAAACCCCAAGCAAGATCGCCGCTAAGCAGCTTACAAAACTTGTTATAACTTTGATCATGCCTTATTAAGTTTACAATTTTTCTTGCGTTGTTTTTCAACTTTCGCTTGTTGTTTCGTGAGATGGGTGCGCCAATTAATTCGTGAGGAATTTAGACCAAAATGCCTCATCATTATGCATGTTTACCATTTCTGTTCTGCAGTCTGAAGAAAAGAATATTCACGTTGCCGTGCAATGGTTCATTAACTTTATGTACAATGTCTGTAAAATACTCTAGATAATCAAGTTAATTGTTCGAACTATAACAAATAGAGTAAATCACGAGAAACAGAATTTTTATGAGCACTTCACAAGACAGCGTCTATCAGTTTATCCGACATAAGCTCAAATGTACTGTCAGCCCCATAGCTAAATTTCCCACGCTCATTTTCAACGACTGCAAACACGTACATGTTTTATAACAAAATCTGTACCTGCTTTGAAATCTGTGTATTCTCCCGTACAGCCGGAATCCTCTTTGATGAGCTCATTCGTGACATTATCTCGAGATTCCCAGCAATGCTTGAAAAGTCCTCGATAATGTGTGATGTTGTGACCCTCAGAAACTATCACCCACTGAAGCCAGTACGTCGTGGCTACGCTTAGAATAATCATCAGCATCGCTGCAAAAGCGCAGACGATGGCAGTGATGACTTTGATCATGATTAAGGGTTCTTTTTGATGACAGAACAGCCCAGTGTTTTCGAGGTTCAACTGTTGATAAAATTCAAGGCTGCTCACTCCAAGCGGCGTAAACTACTTCTCGCAAAGTGTTATGGGTATGAATGTTTCGCGCGTTCTCCACGCAGGCAACGAGGGCGCGCGAGGAGCAATGTGTTCTGCTGTGAAAAAAGTGTTCTATATGTAAAAGCTAAGATTTTGATCGTTCTTAGGGGGTCAAAAATCCCTGAGCACAATTTGGACAGAGACACTCCTTCCATCGCATATCCGCGTGTCCCAAAATGGGTAACGGAATGGGCTCCTGCAGGAGAACTACTGGTAAAAATATTACCTGGTGAAGTTAGTTGCGATGTAATTGAAATATAAATATTCTATTTTTTCATTTAAATAAAATAAGCTTTATATTTATAGCCTTGCTTTTGGATAGACCTATGGGTAGCCAGTCGAGACGACTCGATTTTCTCGGGCGAGAGGTCTTTGATGAGATAGTTCGTCACTGCAAATCGACTACCCCAGAGTCTTCGAGCATGAGAAAGGCATGGTCATGTCAGGAGCTGATCATGCAAAGTTGTAGAGTGAGAGAGGAACTAAGAACATATACCAGGAGTTCACAGAAGTTGAGGGGTCTGCGTTAGCCTGAAATTCATCCGCTTGCTTCGAGTCGTTTTCTCCTCTCAACAACTGAGGGAGTAATAACGACTTGATTCAGGCTAGGTCTGCGTGAGCTTTTGCTGATTTTAAAGGTTGCGTTTTAAAAATATGTTAAATAAGGCATATATGAATTTTTTCCCCTAGCAAGGCTAGCATCATTACTTTTTCTGTAACTCTCCACTCCCCGTTAGTCAGGTTACTGTGTTACCCAACATTTGACGCCACGTGTGGCACGAAAACGTGGCACGTGCCCCCTAAAACGCCACGCCTCCCCCCGAAGCATTTGTTTCCCTTTTTTCAGGAAATGAGCTGTAAGCTTTTTTGGACGCCTTTACCTTATCTGCACTATGTACTGGCCACTTTTCATGAACCAAACGGGCAGAAGTTCGGTAAGTTATTTTTAAAAAATATATTTGCAGACAGAAAAGTTTTCCTTTAGCCTGCGTAACAAACGTTTCCAATCGTGTTATTGCGCGAAAGTTAGAGCGGAAGCAAAAAAAAGGTCATTCATGTTTTTTTGCTCTTGTCCCAGTTTTCTAGACGAACCTCGCGAGGAAACGCTTGCTACACAGGCTAGTTTTCCTTGGGACATTTTCGATTACGCCCACTTGGGATTCGGGAATCTAACACCTACGTAATATATCACTGCAGGGTTCTGTTGACAGATTTTTTTTCGCAATTCAACATACAAAAAAAGTAAAGGTTATGAAAGCGGTTTTGCATTTTTCTCTCTTTTCGAGTTTTTTAACTGTTTGTAACCGTTTTGCGAATTGTGAAAACTCGCCTTATATGTAAGCCAACTTTTTTTCACAAAGCGCGCGCAGTACGTGAAAATGCGCTCACCTTTCGTGTCTTATGCATTGACATTTTTGTTATGTAACGTAAGAGTATATTACATTTTGTAAATCCTTGCGTAACGGGGGAGTTGATAACCGTACGAACAAGA